TTTTTATTGTTTTCTTATGTTTTTATATATGTTGGAAGCCGCCCAGAGTAGCTGGGGCAGCCCAGTAAGATGTGTGGAGTACAAACAGTGAAATTATCATTATGGAATGGGAGGTCCCTATGTTCATCGGATAAATGTTGGAGGGCATGTAATTCTATGTATTAATTCTATATATTAAATGCTTTGCATTAAATATAGGGTTGCCATAATGAGCATTTTGGCAAAGTTGTTGAATCTTTTTTTTTTTTTTAATGACTATCGCCAAAATCTACGCCCGGACGCTGCTTAAGGGGCCTGAATAATGGCTATGGCAACCCTAATTAAATACCTAGAAGCAAATTCACAATAAAAAGAATATCAATGATAAAAACCATTACCCAATTTCATATAGAAAACAATTATAATATTGTTTTCAAAAAAGTAAAAACTATTTCCTATGTGAAAACAGAAACAAATCCCATGTTTTAAAAAAAAGAAAGAAAAAGAGCTAAAGGCAATTCCATATGTAAAAAACAATTCAAAATCCAAAGCATTATAGACTGGGGTGGAGATCTCCACTTGTTGAAAGATGAATGTCTTCACCAGGTATAATGATAAAGAAGGCTGATCGCCAAAGAATTGATGCTTTTGAATTATGGTGCTGGAGAAGACTCTTGAGAGTCCCATAGACTGCAAGAAGATCAAACGCATCCATTCTTAAGGAAATCAACCCTGAGTGCTCACTGGAAGGACAGATCGTGAAGCTGAGGCTCCAGTACTTTGGCCACCTCATGAGAAGAGAAGACTCCCTGGAGAAGACACTGATGCTGGGAAAGATGGAGGGTACAAGGAGAAGGGGACAACAGAGGACGAGATGGTTGGATAGTGTTTTTGAGGTTACCAGCATGAGTTTGACCAAACTGCGGGAGGTGGTGAAGGACAGAGGTGCCTGGCGTGCTCTGGTCCATGGGGTCATGAAGAGTCGGACACGACTAAACGACTAAACAACAACAACAATACACATTTCTCCTCCTGTTCCCCTCAATGGTCCACCTGATTTAATTTATTTTAATTGTTTTTTTAAGCAGAGATGAAGAGAGAGGAGAATAAGGAGAGAGTTTGGCACTGGGGTGTCAAGTACAACCCCCCCCCAATTGGTAATGATTTGAGCATATTTAAATATATATCTATATTTTAAAATGCATCTGTGTTCTTAAAACTGATGGAAAGGCTTGTGGGAGGTTAGAGAAGAAAATGAGAGAAAAGGAAGGGATGCACTGGAGCATTTGCAAGACTGAGGTGTTCTTAACCTGTTTGCAAGTCCTAGGACTGTGTATTGCTGGTTGGGGGGGGGAGAGAAGCATAAAATTGAAATAAATGTGGGAGAGGAAAAGTGTGAGTCTGAGCAGAGCTTTTGGCCACCTGCCTGGGATGGATTGAACTTTCCCCTACAATCCTCGCTCCGGAACTTCCAAGCACAGTGCCGCTCTGATAATTTACTTCTAGAAAGGAAGAGCTGTCTGGTCCTCTTGGCAGCAGTTGCCAGCGTTTGTCCAGGCAGCGTTATTATGCTGGGATGTTATCTTTGATTTGCAAAAGCAAAAGTGCTGTGTTCTCTTTCCAGCCATTGAAAAGACTGCGAAGTCTCTTGCATTTCCTCCTGAAGTCAAGCTGCTGGCTGTTTTGTTCTCTCTCTCTCTCTCTCTCTCCCCTTCCCCCACCAGAGATCTCTTTGTCAGCAATGACAGATCTCTCCCTGGCTCTCTTGCCTTTGCTGACACCTGCTGATCAACGTGTGAGGCCAGATGCTGCTAAGACTCGCATATAAACTGGGGAGTTGCTCTGTGGCCTAAAGGGAACAGAGTAGAACATGGATTCCGGTTATCATAATGTTATCATAACATTCTGGTTATCTCCCACTTGGACTACTGCAATGCGCTCTACGTGGGGCTACCTTTGAAGGTGACCCGGAAACTACAACTAATCCAGAATGCGGCAGCTAGACTGGTGACTGGGAGCGGCCACCGAGACCACAAAACACCGGTCTTGAAAGACCTACATTGCCTCCCAGTACGTTTCCGAGCACAATTCAAAGTGTTGGTGCTGACCATTAAAGCCCTAAACGGCCTTAGTCCAGTATACCTGAAAGAGCGTCTCCAACCCCATCGTTCAGCCCGGACACTGAGGTCCAGCGCCGAGGGCCTTCTGGCGGTTCTCTCGCTGCGAGAAGCCAAGTTACAGGGAACCAGGCAGAGGGCCTTCTCGGTAGTGGCGCGCGCCCAGTGGAACGCCCTCCCACCAGATGTCAAAGAGAACAACAACTACCAGACTTTTAGAAGACATCTGAAGGCAGCCCTGTTTAGGGAAGCTTTTAATGTTTGATGTGTTACGGTATTTTAATATTTTGTTGGAAGCCACCCAGAGTGGCTGGGGAGGCCTGGCCAGATGGGCGGGTTGTAAATATATTATTATTATTATTATTATTATTATTATTATTATTATTATTATATTATTATTCTGCTGTTGTTGTTGTTACCATTTATCACTCCAGGCGCGGGAAATTGAATCCGGTTGGGGAGTTAGACTCTTATACCCCACCCATCCACTCCTATGGGCCACGTTTGACAGGTGGGCAGGGTAGCCATTTTCACCCCATGCGGTGCTTTGAAGCTAATATCGGGGCTTCAAAGCACACCACACAGCTCTCTGCAAGCACCAATCCACCGGCTGATTTTCATGGCTTGGAAAGAGCCACCCAAGGCATTATGCACAGGGCTTTTAAGGAGCCACTAATCAGCTGACTTGGGTTGCCTCAAAGCCCATTTTTGGCCCAATCACATCTTTACCTTCCCTACACCTTATGATTATGAGACATCCGAGGTGTGGTTGTGGCTGGCTCAAGATGTCCTCATGGGCCTTGGTGTGATGGTTTATAAGCAATGGTCGGCAGAAGTGGTTTTCAAGTGGGCCAAAATATCTGCCCCAGCTGAATTTTGCTAGTTTTGGCTGGCTTCCAATATATATAAAAATATAACAAAACATCAAACATTTTTTTAAAATTTGCTATACAGGACTGCCTTCAGATGTCTTCTAAAGCTTGTACAGTTACTTATCTCCTTGCCTTGGGGGTCAGACAACTCCATACCCTCCGTTATTTCTCTGGTGAAAACAGGGACATCCTAAAGAAAAGCAGAACATTCTGGGATCAAATAAAAAACTGGGGTGGCTTCTGTGAATCTGGGACTGTCCCTGGAAAATAGAGACACTTGTAGGGTCTGAAAATATAACATGGTTTTGCTTCTGTTCCCATTCCACCATGAGGCTTAACAGCTCTGTCACATTACTGGGATGGAGAGGAGCATTTTGTCTTAAGAGACACAACAAAGAAGTCAAGCCTTTTGTTGCCAGGGGTGGGGGCAGAGAGCAGGAGGGGTTAGGAGGCAAAGTGTTCATTTCGGTGCCTGCTAAAAACATTCCCGGTTAGACAAGCCTACGCAGAAGCTTAGAAAGTGGAGGTAATTTTAAACTGTTAAAGTGCTTTAACATTTGTGTGTACATTGGACATTCCCCCCTTGTTTTTACTGTTTTATCTTTTGAAAACTGCTCCGAGGTTCTTTTACAAGCAAGTGGTGTATACATTTTATTAAACAATAAATAACTCAAAAGAAATGAGGGAATACCCTTCAGTCAACTCATGTTTTAAGACTGCACGCACACAAAAACACTTTTTTAAATTCTCCTGTCTCTCCCACAATATTATTATCTTAGGCAAGACATTCAGCTGATTATTATGTGGCTTTCCCCCTTTCTGATCAAGATAAGCTAGTAGCTGCAAAGAGCACCACATTTCTAGCAACCGCTAATAAAACATGGGCCAAGATGCCACCCTCTGAGTTTTAAGTTGTATGATTTTGTAATTTAGTTTGGCGATTTTATCTGTTTAGTTGCACTGATATACGCTTGAACCAAATTCCAACAGCTTGTAGTGGATGCAAATAAATATCCTTCTATCTCCCTCCACTTTCGTGGGAGATGAATGTTCCTGCAAAAGTGCTGATGGCGGGAGATACTTAGACCAGTTTTATTTTCAGATTTGGTACTGGGGAATTCTGAAAAAGGGAAGCGGCAGGTTTTCACGAAGTTCATCCCCACCACCTCCAGCATTGAAATTTGCCATTTCAGAAGGAGAAATGTTTTCTCTGAAAGAATAACGCTCCTCTAGAAAATGATGATGATGATATCCATAAATCTTATCTTCCACTTCCTTCTCTTCCTGATCCCCTTCCTTTATCAAAACCTAGATTTCAATTTCCTTGGGGCAGGGCCTGGTTTGGTTTGGTTTCAGTTACCGTATTTTTCGCTCTATAAGACGCACCAGACCACAAGACGCACCTAGTTTTTGGAGGAGGAAAACAAGAAAAAAAATAATTCTGAATCTCAGAAGCCAGAACAGCAAGAGGGATTGCTGTGCAGTGAAAGCAGCGATCCCTCTTGCTGTTTTGGCTTCTGGGATAGCTGCGCAGCCTGCATTCGCTCCATAAGACGCACACACATTTCCCCTTACTTTTTAGGAGGGAAAAAGTGAGTCTTATAGAGCAAAAAATACGGTACTCTGTAAAGCAGACTCACTTTGCCTCTGGGTAGGACTGGCTCAACTATACAGTGGTACCTCGGGTTACAGACGCTTCAGGTTACAGACGCTTCAGGTTACAGACTCCGCTAACCCAGAAATAGTACCTTGGGTTAAGAACTTTGCTTCAGGATGAGAACAGAAATCGTGCAGCGGTGGCGGGAGGCCCCATTAGCTAAAGGGGAACCCCAGGTTAAGAACAGTTTCAGGTTAAGAACGGACCTCTGGAACGAATTAAGTACTTAACCCGAGGTACCACTGTATAAGACAACCTCTCTCTTTTTTGAACCCAAAAGGATCACTGGAAGTTGTTGAGTTGCTTGTGGGCCTCTGCAGCACCACTACAAGGAGAGTCTGCTGCCGGTGCTCTCATTGCTGCCCAGCTCGCTACCTCTGCTTGGCTCATCTCATTGTCCTCATCGTCCAACACCTTCTCCTCCTCCTCGGAGTGACCCAGGGGAGGGTTGAGCATCATGCTTACGCTGCCGCCACTGTCTCTGTACACAGGATTGGATACCCACACATAAACTCAGTGGTAGAGCATGCCCCACCTATGCCCAGGGTGCGTGTGGCACCGAGTGGGAGTGGGGCACGCCGTGGTGGCAGGGTATGCCACCGGAGTGACTGCGTCCTTCTCGGGCACCCTCCAACTGGAGGGCAGCTGAGTGGGATGCGGTGGGCTCCATGCCGCCCCAAAGAAAAGTTACACCTGGGCTGACCCGCCCCCTCTACATCCCCCTAGCTATGCCACTGTATAAGCTGGTGCACAGGCAGCCCAGTCTTGCTTTATTTAGAAGCTGGTTGGCAGTTCCTGCTCAATTCAGTCCTGCTCAGCTCAAGCACATCCCAACTAGTTCCTGATGGGATACTGGCTGGCATTCCCGAAATGAGCAATGAACTACCCACATATCAGCTCAGCTGGTGTGTGACAACTTCAATCCTGATTCAGTCACTAACTGCATTACCTGGCCAATGTGGCCATTCTTTTGAGATGGTAAATACTTTAGTTCCTGAACCCAGGCCACAGACCTACTGTGAAGGCCTGGGAATCTGATTCAGAGGCTAAACCTGAGGAATCCCAGCCTGCACAGGAGTCCCCGCCTCCTGCTGAGCCAGGGCAGGGGCTTGAATCTGAAGGGCCCTCACCTGTGCCAAATCCTCAGGAGCAGACACCAGCTGAATCCGCTCTGGCTCTGGAGGTGATCGAGGACCCATTGCCTGCAGGTACTCCTCTCCCAGCCCTGTCAGGGGAAGGTGAGGTTGCCTCTGGGGCCAGTAATCCTCCAGCCTCTCCTGAGCTGCAGAGGCTCAGGGCAGAGAGGCGGAGGGAACTAAGTTCCTGCAGGAGGAGTGCTCGCCTCCAGGCCAGGGGAGGCAAGGCACCTGTGGACCAGGGCTGCCCTATGCCTCAGAGGAGATAAAAGCCAGCCAGCCCCAGTCCCAGGTTGCGGGAGCAACATTGTTGGTAACCTGTTCCTGCTCTCCTGAGTTCCTGACCACGCCCGACTCCTCACTTTGGACCTCGCTTCGCCCCTGACGGACAGCCTCCTTACCCTTGACCTAGGACCGGACTTAGACTACGGTGCACGATAACCCCACCCCCGGGACGGGCACACCTACCCTATTGCCCTTAAGAGGGGATTTGAAGGATTTGTAAGTGAGAGAATTATCGGGAAAGGTTCCCCGAGACCTTTCCTTCTGCAGAGGAAACATTCAGAGTTATTAGGAGAACCAAGAAGGTTTTGGGGATTGTTCTATGTGCTAAAGCAAAGTGTAATTTTCTCAGGGAATATTTCCTAAATTCTAAAGGGTGAAGGATTGGTTTTCTGAGGAGTGTGTGTGTGTGTGTGCACCCTAAAATTTTATAGCAGATTTAATGCCCAGGAAAGTCTAGGGGAAGGGATTTTATGCAGATTAAATAATGTGGAACATAATAGTGTGAGATCTACATTTCCAGAATTACAAATGAAAAGGAGAGAGTGGTTTCCTGGACAACTCTTGAGGATTTAATGTGTCATTTGTGTGCTACTCAGACTATGATAGAGTGCAAATGGAGTGAAGCAAAGCATGCTAATTTGTCTAGATCAGGAGTGTTAGAGGGAGGGGAAACACAGGTGAAACCAACGATCTCCTGATGGCAGCTGCATAATCTCTCTCCCCATCACAGTTCTTCCTCTGGAAACAGCTCCCTTCTGAAGGCTCCTAGGTCTACTGGAAGAAGGAAAAATCACTAGTGTTGCAGCAAGGATTCTTCAACATCAACTTCATTGGACAGGTCATGTTGTTGGATGCCGGATTATTATTTTACAAAGCAACTACTCTATTCCCAATTTAAGAATGGGAAGTGTAATGCTGGTGGACAACAAAAGAGGTTTAAAGACTCTCTCAAGGCAAATCCTTAAAAATGTAATATAAACACTGACAACTGGGAATCACTGGCCTGCTAGTGCTCCAATTGGAGAACAGCCTTCAAGAAAGGCTTCCTGGACTTTGAAGAAGCATGGACTCAGGATGAAAGGGAGAAATGAGCTAGGAGGAAGGCACATTGGCAAAACCTCACCATGATCAACTCCTACCTGGAAACCAATGTCCCCACTGTGGAAGGACGTGTGGATCCAGAATTGGCCTTCACAGCCACTTATGGACAAACTGTTAAGACCATATTCATGGAAGATAATCTTACTCAGCTATGAGTGATTGCTAAAAAAGAAGAAGAGGAAGAAGAGGAAGAAGAGGAAGAAGAGGAGGAGGAGGAGGAGGAGGAGGAGGAGGAGGAGGAGGAAGAAGAAGAAGAAGAAGAAGAAGAAGAAGAAGAAGAAGAAGAAGAAGAGGAGGAGGAGGAGGAGGAGGAGGAGGAGGAGGAGGAGGAGGAAGGTGAGAAAAGCTATCCCTTGGTGGCCAACACAAGAGTCTCTCCTCCCTCATCCTTGAAGTATGATAATGCCTCTCGCTTGCATGGATGGAGATGTGCAGAAACCTCCACTTTTTGTGTGGTTGGAAGGCAGCCTTGGAGTGGAGCATCCCATTTTGCCACCTGAGGCAAAACAGGAAAGTGCTGCCACCCTGCCGAAGCCTTCCTTACCTGGGTTGCACATCTTCCCTGTGCAGCCAGCTCCACAAAGTTGAGAGTTACACCTGTTGCCCTCCTTACTTTTGTCCTTGGCCCCATGCAAAACTGCCATGCAGGACCTCCCCTCCCAGCGCCTTCCACACACAATGGGGAGTAATCAACAGGCTTGAGTGAATCCTAAGTGCCAATTAATCAATAGATTAAGGGGACAACATTCCCCGCTCCCCCCCCCCATTGCTCAGTGAAGACTGAGAAAGTTAATGCTGATTATTGTTGTGCGGGTGGAATGGAAGATCCTGGAAAAGGGCTCTAGCTGTCTGAAGTCCTGAATATGAAAACATACAGTGGAACCTTGGTTTTCGAACGTAATCCTTTCCGGAAGACCGTTCGACTTCCGAAACACTCAAAAACAATGGCACAAAGGGTGGTCTGCAATTTCAATGGAGCAAATTGGAAAAAACCTCAGCAGAAGCCGTTTGACTTCTGAGACACGTTCGAAAGTGGAAGCAATTACTTCTGGGTTTTTGGTGTTCAAAAACCGAAACCTTCAGCTTCCAAGATGCTCAAAAACTGAGGTTCCACTGTACTTGTAATATACCTGTAAATAATCTCATTTGGGGAATGTGTCACCAGTGAGTCCTCTGGTACATTGGTGGCTGATGAGAAGCCTTTTAGCTCAGCAGTTTCCTTTTCGTTGAGAGTCTGTTCACTGCAAAGACATATTCTCCATCATACAAAATTGATATAAAGGCTATCACTTTTATAGCATTTAGAGCTTTTATATCCATTCCTTATGTTAGAGGACAAACAAGATTGCTTAGAAAACCTTTCCCCGGGGACTTAGAACTAATTGGGACATTGGGACATATTTGAAAAAGACTTTAATGATCGAAATGGATCTACAAGCAATTGTTCCGTGGTGTTATTGTCCCTTGTCCTGGTTTTCTGTGTTTGTTATTTGAAGTACATTGCCAGTGTATTTTCACATTTGTGGGTGCTATTGCTGATTGTGTTTGATACGTAGGGCCCTTATGGCATCTTTTCTACATTGCTGGCGTTCTGAACAGAAGAACTTCATACTCTAATATTTTGCTGGAGTCTCCACTCATACAGCCTTCATCAATGTGGTGCTTATCAGATGTTTGGGACTACAAATCCCATTGACTCTGATGGGAGTTGTAGTCCAAAGCATTGGGAGGCATTCAGGTTAAGAAATGGCACACTAGTACAATTATATCATCAACATGAGTGATATAAAATAATAATAATAATAATAATAATAATAATAATAATTTATACCCCACCCATCTGGCTGGGTTCCCCCAGCCACTCTGGGAGGCTTCCAACAAAATATTAAAATATTATAGTCTGTTAAACATTAAAAGCTTCCCTGAACAGGGCTGCCTTCAGATGTCTTCTAAAAGTCTGAAGAGGAGGAGGAGAGTTTGGATTTGACTATCCCGCTTTATCACTACCCGAAGGAGTCTCAAAGCGGCTAACATTCTCCTTTCCCTTCCTCCCCCACAACAAACACTCTGTAAGGTGAGTGAGGCTGAGAGGACTTCAGAGAAGTGTGACTGGCCAAGGTCACCCAGCAGCTGCATGTGGAGGAGCAGAGATGCGAACCCGGTTCACCAGATTACGAGTCCACCACTCTTAACCACTACACCACACTGGCTCTCTAAAAGTCTGGTAGTTGTTTATCTCTTTGACATCTGATGGGAGGGCGTTCCACAGGGTGGGTGCCTCTACCGAGAAGGCCCTCTTGCCTGGTTCCCTGTAACTTGCTTCTCGCAGTGAGGGAACCACCAGAAGGCCCTCGGCGCTGGACCGAGCTTAACGAGAAGAACCAAAGGGATGCCCACACTCCTGCCAGCATCAACCACCTGAGTCAGTTCACATGCGCGAGTGGTAACATGCTGCTTATGGCCTCGGAGTGAGAGTTGCTAGCGAGATATGGAGTACAGTTCAGAACCTGAACTGCCTCCTGCAATGGTTCACTAACTGCTGCTGTTAGAAATGATGTATGATTGACAGCCAAAGCCACAATCCACTTAAGTCGGCTGTGGCCACAAGCACACATGTTTAAAGGACTATCATACCATTTTAAACAATCATAGCTTCTCCCAGAGAAATCTGGGAAGTGTAGTTCATTAAGGGTGCTGATACATATTAGGAGATCCCTATTTCCCTCACAGAACTACAAGTTCCCTGGGGATTGTTCTGGGGTTGCCATATTTCAAAAAGTGAAAATCCGGAGGGGGAGGGAGAGATGAAATGAAGCTTTAGAGCTATTTTTAAGGGAATTCGCCAAAATCTACACTTCCAACAAGGGCTGCCAGATTTCCCCAGACATTTAAGGCATTTCTGCCCAGTTTCCAGCAGCCAAATCCTGGTGATGTCTG